TAGATGCCCATCAAATTTTTGGTGTAAGATTCTATAGTATCCATATTCAAGAAAGTAGTCTGTGCTTGTTTATGGACACAGAAATGTTAAAAGTTATAAAAAATGATTTACATTTAAACAATGTAGCATTAGTAGTCCCTGGACCCCACTCACTTGGTGCAGAATAGTTAGAAAAATCAGTAAATGTAAATTCTATGGCCTTGTTCTTAATAATTTTCTGAGCCACTATTTTTAATGCACGTATTTGCTTAAATGTTGAGAAGTTGTTACTTGATGATTAGGGTTATGATTCTATTCTGAGACTTTAAAAACATGTTAAATTAGCTTTTGGGATCATATGGTGCACTCTAGTGGGGTCTACTTAAATTACAAACAATCCTGCTTCCAGTTCTTTCCCACCATTTTTGGGGAGGGTAGAACATGACATGAAGAGGCAGAAATTAGTTTAAAATATATTATGGTGAAAAGATTGAGCAAAAAAGAAAAACGGAAAGAAAAATCTCATGGACATAGAACAGCAGTGTGTTGGCTGCTCCCTGGGGGGAAAATACACAATACAGGGATGTGCTGTGGAATTATGCACCTGAAACCCGTGTAATTTTGTTAACCAGTATCACCCCAGTAGAATAAAAAGGAAAAATGCATATACTATGGCATAATATAATTAAAAAGCTTGAGCAAAAGAAACATAGATCTGGAAAGGACATGAAAATATACATTTCCTTCCATTGCCTCTAGTTAGCACTTCATGGAAAGCAATCCAGAAGATAGATTTCTGCCCTAAGCATATTTCTAAAACAGAGAAGATATGATCATGCAGCATAACCATGCTTGTGTTTGCTTTGAGAACATTTCCAATAGATGTTAAACATCATCAATATTTATGGAGCAAGACTTGTGTACATGAAATTGTATTGATTATTATTATTAGTTGTTCCTGGGCCACTTTATACAAGGGGGGACCCAAAAAACCCTGGAATTATCTTCTGGAGGGCGGGACCCTTATAGTATGGACTTCACCCTACTCCCCAACTAGGTGAGTGTTCTGGGAACCCATCTGTATCAGCGTACTAGCTGGTGTTGTTAGAGGCTGCATTTGGCTCCACTGAATTTTTTAAAGACTCAGTGCATTTGCCCATTTCACGTTGGGTGATTTATGAGTGCACCTACCCATACCACTCCTACTGTTCAGCAGTTTTGGGTCAAAAATGGCATGACCCCTGTGCCCCACTCTCCAAGAGTGGCAAGAAATGGCAAAAACACTACAAGGTATCAAAATCAATGAGTTCAAACAATGGGAAAAACTCTCGGTAGATGTATTGCATCCAATGCACAGGACTTTGAAGGTGACTGAAGTTTAAACTTGTAAGAATAAAAACACAATTTTTTAGAAATAAATTACGTTTTTTGAAGGGCCTCTCATGCATTATTACTACTAACAAGCCACTACACATGACTATTTCTTTGAGTCAAATCATTTAATAGGGAAACTGAAATAGAATTCTAGGATGGGATGATATCATGCCACTGTGGGAAATGGACATGTTCTGCCAATAATGTTTGGAGATCAGAGACAGGTCAGCATGGGACCTTTCTAACCCATTCTCCTTTAATATGGCACATATTGGTTTCTGCGTGTTTTCTTAAAGAAAGGAAACACCAGTAGCCAGTGTAGGTACCAGGCTGTGCAAGGCTGCAAAGCAGAGAGGTAGGAGACTCCAGTTTTTGTTCTTTCACCAGTCGGAGTGGGAGACTGGGCAGCCAGTGGATGGTCTAGGCCTCCACTTCCTCATCTGTAAAGTGGAAGGTTGTCTACATAGTTCCTCACTGGTTGGTTCATGAGTTGATGTAAACTATGAAACTGCATTGTTTGCAAGAAGAAAGGCTATTTTTCAAGCTTTGGAAAATCTGTGAAAAACTGAGGGTAATTCAACATTTATATTAAAGTCCTATTCTTGCCTCAGGACATGGTCACTTCAACCATGTTAAAAATGAACACTAGATACTCATTAACATAATTCAGGCCAATGAGGACCATAGCAGAGTGTTCTTCGAACATTCCCATTTGTTTATGATATTTACATTCTCTCCGACCACCAGATCTCTGTGGTTGATGGCAGCTCATGGTGCTGATTACAGGGAGGGATCCCTCACTGCAGGATGGGCGCCTTTTGTTTTTCACGAGCAGATGCAGGGTCAGATAGACAACTGTCAGAGTCCTCACTGCATTCTCCGGTTTGGCGTGTAGAATCATTGTCCACACCTTTTTCTCCTTCACATTAGACATATACTATATGTAATATAAAATATTTATATGGATTTAAATGTCTATATGCCTAAGACTTTTTAGGGAGCCATATTAAACTCTATATAGCTTCTGAATAAAAATTTCCAGTTCTTACAATTTGTACAAGAGGTATATTCTGCTAAATGAAACAAAGTTGGAGTAAGAACCAACAACATAAAAGCTTCCGGGAGGAATGACTAAGACCACCTCTTTGCCCACAGTGATCCAATGGGCCCGAAAGAGAACACTGATCTATTTTAAAACTGCCCATTCTAGTAGGTTCCCCAGTCTTCTGAGTAACGCTCACATTCCTGGGTTTAAACCCCACTTCAAACCCACCATCCACTCCAGGACAGAATGTTAAAAAACACTATTGAAAGATAAGATATTAATAACAACTTATTCTACAAAATCAATCCCCACTCCATACACACACATTTTCATTGGTTTTCTCATTTGCTTTTGTTTATTTTTATTTTTTGTATTTTATTGCTGTGTAGGTATAGTTGTCTGCCTTGGTTCGAGTTTAGCTCACTGTGATTGACAGCTAGGTGTAGTTGAATCATAACTTTACCATTCAGTCATTTGTGTAAGTAATAGTTATTAGTACCTTGTATGCTCCGGCAGTAGGTAAATGCTAGAATTACAGTCTAGTGATCATTTTAATCTTGTTCTTTTTTTGGTTTCAATTAATGTTCCTAAATTCACAAAACGAGCTCTGTGGTTAATTACTTGATACCAAACTCGAACAGTTGATTCAGATAATATAGCTCTTGACAGTGTACAAAGAAAATTTAAAGAAAGTTCAATTCAAGAATAAAGTCAGTTAAGAGAAAACAATGCTATCAAAACTATATTTGGAGTTACACAAAACCAAGTGTGTTGCTATAGCATAATGTAATTTTTATTAGTTTCTTGTGCATACAAAAGCAAAATTTTTAAAATTTTCAGAGTACTGAAATATCATTTACCTAAGGTTGTTAAGATGGCTGTTACTGATGTTAGTGAAATGTACTGAAATCAAATCACATTACATTCAGCCTACTACAGAAGCTTTAATCATCTGCATCACAGTTCTACATTAAGGCACAAGTCAAGAACATTTGAAGAACTGCCATATAGACACCCAGATTAAGTTTCTGCATTTAATTAGCTACACATAAATACTATATTTAGATTATTTCTCAGAGCAATACTTTGGTTATTATCTCTATCTGGTAAAAATATTGGTATAAATGAATCATTTTAAAAGCAGATGAGCTTTTAAAAATACTCCAACCCGACCAATTCATTCCAAAAATGGATAATATGGGGGGGGAGGGGTAGTGGTGGGGAAAAAATGGAAACAACTGTACTTAAACAACTATAAAAAATGGATAATATATAGATTAGCACAGGAAAAATAAAATACTATGAGATGAGTTCACTCTGTAGAAATTTACACGTAGTCCATCTCAGGAAAGAATTGGTCTTAATTCAATGACAATTACCTCCTATAAAGTTTTTGTCTGTCATGAGTCATTCCCCACATCACAACACAGGCATGTTTACTCTGTAAATAAAACAATGTTTAGAAATGTCACACTGTGGCATTCACATTGACGTTTGACCTGGCTAACCCAATAAAATTTAATCATAGATTTTTTAAATTTGTAAATAATGCTAAAAATCCAAAAAGAATAATTACCTCCACTTTCATGAAATAGTATAATTTAGAATTCATCAAGTAGTACAAGCACCTTTGAGAGGTGGAAGCATTTAATATAATGGAAGACCTTGGAGGGAATATATTTATACGCAACCGAAATTCTCATTCGAGAAGGACATGCATTTGCTTTAGTTGTTTTCTTATTGTTACGTAAGGACCTGGGAGCCAGCCAGTGGACATCTTGCCACAGAGATCCGACAGATGCCTACTGAATAAAAGCGGAGATAAGCCAAGAAGTCCAAATTGGCACACTGCATATTGACTATGGGCAAGGCATTTGCTTTAATAAAAGATATTCAGTTTTGACATAGGCAGTATGAATTTATTAACACACTTATTGCCTCCTTCTTTGAAGTGTTTTAAGTCATTTTTTATTTTTCCATTACAGTTGACATACAATATTATATGTTTCAAGTGTACACCCCTGTGATTAGGTACTATAAACTTACTAAGTGATCATCCCAATAAATCTTGTGCCCATCTGACATTATACATAGTAATTAGAATATTATTGACTATATTCCCTATGCTGTACTTTACATCCCATGACTATTCTGTAACAGCCAATTTGTACTTCTTTTTTAAAAAAATATTTTGTTTATTTATTTCTACAGAGAGGAGAAGGGAGGGCAAAAGAGAGGGAGAGAAACAGCAATGTGTGGTTGCTTCATGTACCCCTTGTTGGGGACCTGGCCCGCAACCCAGGCATGTGCCCTGACTGAGAATTGAACCAGCAACTCTATTGTTCGCAGCCCATGCTCAATCCACTGAGCTACACCAGCCAGGGCCCAATTTGTACTTCTTCTTAATTCCTTCACCTTTTTCACTCATCTTCCTGACCCACTCCCATCTGGCCACCATCCAAATGTTCTCTGTATCTATGTCTGTTTCCATTCTGCTTGTTTGTTTATTTTGTTTTCTTAGATTCAATCGTTCAGAGATATGTATTTATTGTCATTTTTATCTTTGTTCTTCTTAAAGAAGACTCTCTTTTTTCTTTTTTCTCTTTATCTGAAGGAGACTGGCAGCATTACTATTTAGTTATACTGCTAATTAACCTTCAACTACTTGTATAGCACATAAGAAATAACACTGCTCACAAATACAAGAAAGCAAGTCAATGAAATGTGCACTAAAGAAGACTCTTTAAAATTCATGTAATACTGGTTTGGTGATGATGATTTCCTTAGTTTTTCTTGTCTGAAAAGCTCTTTATCTGTCCTTCAATTCTAAATGATAGCTTTGTTGGGCAGAGAAATCTTGGTTGTTGATCTTTGCTTTTCATTATTTTAAATATTTCTTACTAATTCCTACTGGGCTGCAAAGTTTCTTTTGAGAAATCACCTAGAAGTCTATGGGAACTCCCTTATAGGTAGCTAACTGCTTTTCTCTTGCTGCTTTTAAGACTCTGTCTTTAACCTTTGGCATATTAATTATGATCTGTCTTGGTATGGGTCTCTTTGGGTTTATCTTGTTTGCACTCTCCGTGCTTCCTGGACTTGTATTTCTGTTTTGTTCACCAGGTTAGGGAAGTTTTGTATCATTATTTTTTCAAATAAGTTTTTAGTTTCTTGCTCTCTCTCTCTTCTTGCTCAGCACCCCATGATGCAAGTGTTGGTACACTTAAAGTTGTTCCATAAGTTCCTTACTCCATATTCATTGTTTTATTTTTTTTTCTCTCAGCTGTTCTGATTGGGTGTTTTTTGCTTCCTTATATTCCAAATCACTGATTTGATCCTTTGTTTCATCCAGCCTACTGTTTGTTCCTTCTAGTATATTCTTCTTTTCAGATATTTTTTCTTCACTTATGACTGGTTCTTTTTTATGGTTTCTATGGCCTTCTTCATGCTGTTGTAGTTCTTACTAAGTTCTTTTAGCAACTTTATAACCATTTTTTTTAACTCTATATCTGGTAATTTGCTTGCCTCCATTTCATTTAGCTCTTTTTTTTCTGGAGATTTCTCCTGTTCTTTCATTTAAGGCACATTTCTCTGTCTCCCCACTTTGGTTTTCTCTTCATGCTTATTTGTAGTAGTTGTCCTGTTGGATCCAGTGGCCCAGTCTCCTTGATCACCTGAGCTGGGTACTCTAGGAATATCCCTTGTAAGAGTTATGTGAGCCCTCCTGTTGTAATTGAGTCTTGATTCCTATTGGCCCATTTGTACATGTATTAGACCCTCAGACTGGCTGCTTGTGAGGATCAACCTGACTACAGTAGATGAGCTGCTGTGCAGGTACCTCTGCAGGGTCTGGTTCCTGCAAGAGCTCCTTTTGGATATGGTGCTGATGAAGCTAATTGAATCCTGCTCTGATGTTGTCTGAGGCTGGTCAGGGGGCATGTTGGTTCTTGGGCCTCTTGGGAGAGACTCTGGTATAGACTAATGTTAGATGCTACCATGACTGGCTCTGGGCAACCTGTTTGGAGCTATAAAGTGATCCAAAGTTTGTGGCTGCCTCTATTGGGCCTGGGTGTATGTGGAAAGGACAAAATGATGCACCAAGTCTGACTTCTTCCAGTACCAAGTCCAGAAGTAGGTCAGCAAACAGCTCAAGGTACCTTGAGATCCACCTCAGCCTGAAAGCTATCTGTTAGGCTCAGTCACTAAAAGAGCCTCTGGTGGCACTTGAGTTACATGAAGTAGGTTCTCAGTGAGTCACCAGGTAGAGGCAAGTGATGTTCACTAGACTGATAATATGTTCAAGCTCAGTGCCAGAGCTAGGTCTGAGGCAAATCAACAAAAGTCCCAGTGTACACCAAGTCTAGCTGCCACCAGTTGGGTACCCACAAATGTTTGTGGTGAGTTGAGATCTCAGGAGATTGTCAGAGTGAGGCCAGCAGACTTTACCAGGCCCAAACAGACCAAGATTTGGCAATGTGAAAGGAAAGCTCTGCACCAGTTGGGTGTGTGAGGGAAAAATGACCTCCATTTTAGGGCCAAACAATTCAGTCTGTCCTAATTTCTGCTAGGAGTCTGAACTCAGCAGGGCGGGGCCCCCAGAAATTAGGAAGGAGGGGCTAGTGGATTGTTCTGTGAGGGCCAGTGCTGGTCAGTCTTAGAGGAAGGAGGGAGGAGTGGTTTCCTGCCTCAGAATCATACAACCTAGTCACTGACACCCCTCTGAGTCTTCCTGGACCTCTATACTCCTGCCCATACAGCTGACTACTCAGCAGGCTATGAGCTCTGCAGGGTGGGATGACAGGGAGTCCGGAGGGTGCTACTGCATTCTCCAGTCTGATGCTGTAGGAGGGGAGTGCTCCACCCAAGAGAGATGGCATCTGTGGTGTGGGAGTGGGACTCAGCACTGGATCCTGATGGCTGTGCCTTTAGCTCTCTCCCCTCGCCTGAGCCACAAGCCCCGGTTACACCTCATGTGAGTAGTCTGCTCGACCCTCCCTCCACCAAGCCCAAGGGTGAGTGGCTGAGAATGAGATTTTGTGCAATGGCTTTTTAAGGGCACCAGTGTCTTTAGCAGATTGCCATCTCACCCTGGCAGACAGAATCCTTACTGATTTTCACAGGCAGGTGTTATGTGGGCACATCTTCCTGGCTTGGGTGCACTGGGCTGGGGAGCCCTGCTTGGGTTCAGCTAGTCTTTGGTTATTCAGGTTGATTGTTCTATATTTTAGTTGTAATTCTAGTTTGCCCTGGGGAGCTGTGAGTGTATCTTCTGCCTACTCCATCTCCATCTTGGACCTCTGTCTAAGAGACAACTTTTAAATACCTTTTACACTAGGAAGACTTGACCAACTTTTTGTTGATGTCCTGGTGTCATGACACTGGGTAGAGAAGGCAGAAAATATCTCTAGAAGCAATTTTCATAGCTCACCAACCAATAATAACTTCATCCTGGTATGATTTTATACTTCATGATCCCAATATATCCAAACTAAATATATCTCCAATTCAACTTTTCCCTAACTGATTCTCAAACTGAGGGGAAGTTAAAGTGAAGGGAAATAGTCTTATAGTCAATTGCAGTTAAAACATATTACTTTTGCAAAAATCTACAATGGACAGACTGCAAGGGCTGGACACCTTAGAAGGAGTCCATGTAAGCGAGGGGCCCTGAAGCTTAAGCTTCACCTGAAATTCAGCTTTACTTTTCATTTATTTTCATTTATTCACTTCATTTTCTATTTAAGTTCTGGCCCCATCTTTCTTTGTATCCTCTTATTGCTTCAACTTCTACGTTCTGACTTCTAGCTCTATCACAACATTGAAATTGCTTTCCTGAATGTGATAACATTTACTAGCTCTTCCTCAATTCTCATCTGACTTTACCTCATAACATTTTGGGCTATTGATCATGTGCTTCCTGAAATTCAGCCTTTATTATTATTTTTTTCAGACTTCTTAGTTTCCTTTATGTCCTTTAGCCTAGCAGTCTTCCTTTTCTGCCCTTCTCTTGTCTTCCTTCTTCACCTCCCACAGTATGTGGATCCCTATAGTCTTCTTATCTGCCCCCTGCACCCATTGCTCTGTGAACTCCAGAGAGAACCTTCAGCTCTCATGGTTCTAGCTGGAACATCTGCATGGATGACCTCCAATCTCTAACTTACCCCTTCATATGCTTCGATTTCATTTTTCCATTCATCCAAGGAACAGGCCTCTTCAAAGACACACCAACACCTTAAAGTCAAATGATTAAAACCTTTTACTTCATCCTTGCTCTTCCTAAACTGACTCCACATTGGTTTCAAGAATATAATAAAATTTGGAATAATTTTTTATGAGGCCCTCTTTGTCACATTTTAAATCTCAGGCTATCTCCAAAATGGTTTATTGAAAATGTGTCCTTATCTTTTTGTATGAATTTCCATGTTTCTCTATTTATAAGCTTTGAACACAACTTCAGATGATATACTTTAAGTACCTGAATCATACCAATTTATCAGAGTTTAGCTCATGACCCACAACTTGGGTGAATCCTTCCTGAATGTTCCCATTAACATTATTTAACCATTTGGCAAATTCAGCCACAACTCCTTTTTATGAATTAAGTCAATTTTGGATCTAAGTTAAGCAATGAGGCAAAAGTTTGAGAACTCTAAGATAGTCAATTTCTTTACTATCCCTTTATTTATTTCTACTCACAACAGTATTACACGATGTTTTGATGATATGCATACAAGCTTTTGGTCCTCTGTTGGTGAAATTATTTTGCCAAATTCCAAAGAAGATAGGAGCCTCTATTTTTGGAGGGGACCACACAGTTACATGCACATCCACATTATTGCCTCACAGGGGTAGGTGGTATTCGGACTAGTTTATATCTTATGTGAAAACAATCATAGGCCATTGTGTGACAAACAGAATCCTATGTCCTCATTGGAGAAGGGTTCAATGGGTCAGCCCCTCTATTCTCTAAAAGTGATATAGCCCTGGCCAATGTGGCTCAGTTGATTGCAGCATCATCCCATAGACCAAAAGGTTACAGTTTTATTTCCCAGTCAGGGCATATACCTGGGTTGTGAGCTCAATCCCTGATCAGGGCACATATGAGAAGGCAACCAATCAATATCTCTCTCTCTCTCCCTGCTCCCCTGGCAAAAGCGATGAAAAACAATGCCCTTGGCAAAGAATAAATAAATAAATAAATAAATAAATAAATAAGACAATAAAAGAGCAAAGATAAACCACTTGCTCCATTTGCTGCAGTTTGTGAAGTTTATCTTCCTGGAAAGACCCCCCACAGATCCTTATTGCAATAAATAATAATACCAAGGGGCTAATTCCATTCACTTCCCACCAGTGAGGGATCATCTGCAGTTGTGTGCTCGACATGGACTTCAGGCCCATGCAGGAGAGTCTGACAGCAGAGCTTCCAGAACTCATCTGTATCACTTTTTCCCCCTAATTTGCACTCCACTTCCATTTTGGTGGGGTGGGGGTGTGTGACAGAAGTAATGACTCCTAACATTTTCCAAAGATTCAGTACCAGGATTGGAATTTTTAAAAAATGATTTCTTTGTGGAGGTTTTACATATCAACTCATGAACTGATGGAAGGTATGAACCCTTCAAATATTTGAGTCCAGGCATCCGTGGGGTCAGGAACTTAGTTAATGCGCTATGCCATTTGTACCCTCCATTTATTTATCTATATGTATTATTTCCCAAAAGAGTGTAAGC